ATACTCTAGGGGCCTCCACTTAACCTCGGAGTTGGTGCCCGCTGCGTGCGCTCGCCTAACAATGCATAGTAATGCATGACGGTCAAGCCGCGGGCACCTGCTTGCGCTGTAGGTATACATAAACTCATTTTCGCGCGAGAGTTTTGGCGGAGGCCCTTGAGGTAGTGAGAGTAGTCTTGAGGAAAAGCTCCTTCTCCCACGGCCAGTGGCATGCTAGAAGCTTGGTGATTCTAGAACCTGTAGGAAAATACTTAAAAATCGAATGAGATCGTTTTCGACTTCTCCGCGGACGAAGTTGCGGGCAAAAGCTATTTGTAAAATAATTAGACTAAATTATTAAAAGCGCCTACCCAAAGTCATTATTCCACGCGGACGAAGTCGCGGGCACAGCTAGTACATGATAATACAGCTAAATAATGTGTTACTTGATACCTTTCTTTCTGTCGTAATCGTATTTTGATGGTATGACGAAATGTAGAGTCGGAAAACCGGGAAAATTATGAAGTTTGAAAGCGTTTTTAAGAATAACTAGCTGACCCAGCGAACTTTGTTCCGCCTTAATGGCAATAAATAAGCAGACTTTTTTTTAAATTTCGAACGGGATAAAAAGTATCCTATGTCCTTCTCCTGGCTCTAAACTACCTCCCTGACAATTTTCAGCTAAATCGGTTCAGCCGTTCTTGAGTTATAAGTGGAGTAACTAACACGACTTTCTTTTATATATAGATAGAGCTTTATTAGGGATATTTTAAAGTGAGAACTGTTGTAAGTAGACTTTATTTCATTTGATTTGATCTATAAATCTATGACCAATGAACTAAAAATAACAAGGATAGGTACATGTACCCACCCATAGCTTGCGTCATGTTCGTAATTATTCACCGATGAAATGCATACCCGGTCTGTTCCTGACATAACATAAAAATATTTTCCGCCTCTGTATCAACGTTTGCGCATAAATCAGGTGTAAACCCGCGCGAGAGCCTCGCAGCAATAAATTTGAGTCTCGGCAAAAACCGGGATTTACTGCCCCATGCAAATAATTCGTGCTGTGTGACTTACATGCACTCACTTACACGCGAGACGCGAACGATGCATTGAAAATTGAAATGAGGCACCGTAATGAATAAAATAGTGCCTGCCTAAAGCTAACATTGGTTAAACGAGATGCAAATATGAAGTCTGGCGTCGATTCTACACTTTCAAAAATGTTTATAAACAAAAGTAACAAAATGAATTAAAAAAGAGCCTAAGTTCCAAAATCTCAGCTTAAGATTAGATTGGCATTCCACATAAAGCTTTATTTTGAAGAGCATTATGTTAAGTGCAAGCGAAGTGCCTCTCGGTCCGTTTCTCAGGCATATTGCAGTTTCAATCATGCCACGAGTATTGTGCTTTTATTTTTATTATTTCCACTTCCATTATGGCGGCCGAAAGAAATGCGCGACCATTATTCGAGCCGTTAAATACGACACCTTTCCTCCTCGCACGCTCATATTTCAATTTTAAATCGGCCCTTTTAACCGCTGCCTTATTAATGCAAGCCTTTTTTCTCGCCGTATGTTTGTGTAGGTGTTCGCTTTGAGAGTGGCTTTAGTGGAAATCGGAATGTTATTCAGCTCGATAAAGGTGCAGAGAGAATCCGTATCCGCCAACTCATTGAAGTCAGGTTCGTTTACCTAAAGCGTTTTGTTTTATTTTTGCAGGAACATGTTTTGTCGGCAATCAGTCCAGCAAATCGCTGCTGGCGTTGGTCATCGTGCCGGAAGCGATCTGCCTGCTGCTGGGCTCGGTGTTCCTGGCGTCGGGGCTGCGGGCGGTGCTGCGGCGGCCCGCGCCGGTGCCGGCTCCGTCAGCTCTCCTGAACTCGCCGCCGCAGCCGCTCACCGACCAGAGCCTGCTCAGGTTGGGAGCGTTCGCGGCGCTTTACGCGGTTCCTTCGACGTGCATCCTCGCAACGTGGATGTACGAGTACGCGTGGAGAGATGACTGGCTAGCCGCACCGGTGCCATCGCCGGAGCCGTCGACTCAGCCGCGCCCCGCGTTCTGGGTGTTCCTGTTCCGGATATTCGCGTCGCAGATTCTGGGCGTGATGGTGGCGGTGTGGATCGCGACGCCGCGGCTGAAGGCGCTGTGGCGGAAGATGGCGGGGCCGCGGAAGCCGCCGCTGGCGAAGTGCCCGGCGGGCCCGCCGCCCACGCCGCTCACGCTGCACTGCTACGCGTCGCACGCGCACTCGCTGTCGCGGCACAGCCAGGTGCACAAGTACGCCACCTACCGGCCGCCGCAGCAGCACTCCTACCGCAAACCTCGCCACTACCACTACTCCGCGGGAGAGACCATCCTCTGACCGACTCACCCGCCTGCTCAACTAAAAGACACTCAGTTACGAGGCTGTTCCTCTGATATGCATTTATAGTTTTAGTTTATGTTGTGTTTGAATAGTGTATTTATAAGAGTATTGTTAAATTTCGTAAGTGCCATTATGTTATTATTTATGAGTGAAAGATTTTGTTTGAAAGGAATATTATAATTAAATAAACAATCTGCATAAATGTATACGATGAAACAATTATTACTACTGAAAAAATATAATACGTCTTTAATTAAACCAGAAAAGTAGATACGATTACACTCGTATTTAGAAGAAAAATTTGTACAGACATTGTAGTTTTTAAGTTTGACTATGAAATTAACTTGAACTGCCTAATAAAGTGTTTATATTGTATATAAAAGCTTTTTGTAAATAGTTAAACAAGGGAAGTTTTACACTTGATTTTAGGTTAGATACTTTATAATTTAAAATCCCTTATGATTTGTTTGCTTAACGTTGCGATCTAAGTGTTACTGAAACGCCATTTAAATGTTTTCAAATCATATTAAGTCTTTAACATCATACAGTCGATTGCACATCAGATTATACATTTTTGTTGCAAAATAGCTTGTAATACAACGAGATAAGACGCCATTGTGTCTAAATTGATGTGCTCTCGTCCTGGTACATTAGTTTCAAGATGCTAAAAACAGGCTCAGTAGGTTTGTGTTTCAATCTTAGATCTGAAAATATGCTACTAGTGTTAATAACTTGCGACTCTAGCGAGTTTTAATTAAGTATTGCATAAAAAAGCTAAGTAAATATTTTGTACATACTTTTCCATCCTGCATTTGAATGGGATGGAATACCGCCTGCCAAAATAGTATTCTAATGTAAATACATAATGATTATTATGAATTATTCATATCATATTGTACATAAAATAATGAGTATTTTGAACTGCATTATTCTGAAACTTGACTTCAGCATACTTGTTAATTGACAGTTAGTAACTTTAGAAAGTTGTGCTAAATTGAAAAAAATATCCCCATTATTTTTATATAACTTGTAAAATATGTAATAAGTGTAAAAAAATAAAATTTTAAAGAAAATATTAAAGGACAATGTTCGTTCTCCATACATTGTTCGCCTAAGAACCAACAATTTTGACATATTACTACCCGAAAGCGAAATAATACGATTCTGTGTGTAAGAACAATGATTCCTGATGGACACTTGCCATAAAATTAATGATTAAGAATATTAAATCACAGCGATTTTATAATATGTCGTTTATGACAACATGGCGTCTAATGTATTAAGTGAATGTATGAACACCGATTCGCGAAAAATGTTTTGTATTGTCGTCACGCCGAGTCGCAGCCAAATAGTATAAAATAATAGAACAAGTTTTAGAAATACAACTCGGCATTCCACTTTTATAATATGCCCACATATTGCACGTAAATAAACAACATGAATCGTAGGTTGTTTCCACCCTTGTCATCTGACACATGAAATAAACTCCTATTGTATTATAGATATCGAAGCCGAATCGTATATTTTAATCGATTTATTTTATTTTCAAAATCGATATTTTATTGTCTATGATGGCCGCAGGAACATCACTATACATGGACTCCCAGCAATAAAGTACGGTAATGCCTCGTACAGATTTTATCGGCAAAAATTATGGAACTTGATAGGTTTTAGACCATGCCACGCACCAAAACTTCCGGAAGTTGTAATAGTATTATAGAATAAACGTTAAAAGACTTATTTATTTAATTTTTCAATGCTTAAGTGTCCATTAGAACGAAAGGGTGCTTAATGTATTAAAAAAAATAGAAAATAATTATGATGGGTTAATGTTTTTTGGCGGTTTTTTAGGCGGTTTCTGACAATGTCCTTTTCCTGATTCCTGAAACATCTGACAAGAAAGAACATACAAATACGACTTCCGGTGGAAAAACGAACACCGCCAGTCAATTGAGATACTTTTTAAAAACTGATATTACGAGTATGTAAAAGTAACCCAATTTGCAAAAGAGATGCTAAAAGTAGGCACCCTACCAACCCTACTCACAGCCTAGATGGGCCATAATAACCGACAACATTATAAGGAATAGCAGGAAGGCGATGGACGCAGGCCGCTACCAATCGATCAATATATTGGAAATCATTGGGGGAGGCCCAGCAGTGGACGTCCATGATTGATTAAGATAAAATGCTTTACGCACTTCACCACTGCCGGGAGACAGGGCGTTGTGTGGAGGAAACCTGGCCCTGAGAAGGGCGTCCTTTCCAGGAAGGGGTGTTTTACCCACCACAGATGAGAGAGAGGTTACCCAGCCCACTAAAATCTACAAAACGCTCCGTCCAACACCAATAATCTGCTGGATGTATGTCGTCAAAATCGAAGCTGAAAACCAAATAATACCTACTATAGTTACCTACAGGTAGGTACTTTGGATTTCAAATAGGTACACATTTCATAAAGTTCCCAGAAATGTTAGCGAAGCTGCCGGTTACGGGTTCGATTCCTCTGCTGATAAGTACTCAAACACGTGCTCCTTGAATGAAACCTTTGGCATCAAAGATAATTTTCGGTTTTTGTATATTTTTGAATGCCTTTGCGTCGTAGCTTCATAGTTCATAAAAAAAACAACTGTCATTTTGACATTCGTGTCACAATTTTTCGTATATTTCGTATGCTTGCTTGGTGATGCTATTTTTAAATAAACGAAAATAAAGATTTATCACTAGAAGTTCACATAATAATGACTTCGTTTAGTCAGCTTTGTCGTCTCAATAATATTATAACAAATAGTTATAGATCCATTTTGTATGGAAGGTATGTTTGAGGTTATGATGCTTGAGTTGTTTACTTTATTGAAATAATCAAATCTATGGATGGATAGCCTGAATTATTTTCCAAATTTTATAAATATGCTCTCACAGCCAGGTCTAATGTTTTTCGAAGAGTATCTTGAAATTCTGAGGCAATTATTATATAGACTAAAATATTAACTTCATAACCAAACAATAGTAAGAATGTCCAGATTATTTGAGCTAGGCTATGTCCGCATGTTCTGAGTACAATTTTATACCTACATATTAATGTTTAAATACTAATGAAACCCATTGTAATCATGTTTCAGGAATACATGGATAAATCAGCAGGTATGCACCTACACCAGAAAATCGGCGGAAGAACGCCTTGGAATCGAAAAACCAAAGCGTCCGTTGACCCCGTTTTTTAAATTCATGGCACAACTACGGCCAGCTTTACTGGCCAAAAATCCAGGAATTACTTCCAAAGAGGCCATAGCGTGGAGCTCAAAACACTGGCAGGAGCTTGATTCAGAGGTCAGTAATAGTAATAAACCTTTCATATGCCAAAGTACTGATCAGTACAAGACAATGACTTTTACATTGTTGTCTGGAGTCTCAGCATTCAACTGACTGTTTATTTATGAGGTCTAATATAGTGGTTGAATTAAATAATGTGCTTAAAACATGATGCATCAAATTAATCATGAAATTCTACTTTACTGAATCATAAAACTGTTTTATGACATCATAAATTGATTTCTTTATTTGCAGACCAAGTCACAAATGGTTAAAGAATATGAAAAAGACTTTGAAGACTACAAAAAAATAAAAGAAATGTATGAAAAATCACTAACAGACCAACAGAAAGAAGACATTAAGAAACTTAAAGAAGAATTGGCTGCTGCCAAAGAAAAGAGGAAATTAAAGGCTGTATGTTTGTACACTTTAAAAAAATGTAGTAGAAATCCTAAAATGTTTATTTTAATATTTATATTTTATCTTCTTCCAGGAATACAAAGAACTAGGTCGCCCTAAGAAGCCAATGTCTTCCTATTTCCTATTTGTTCAATCAAAGAAAGATCAATTCACTGGAAAACATATGAAAGAATTTCAGGAAAAGGTGAAAGAGGATTGGTTAAAATTACCAGGAACTGAAAGAGTTAAATTTGAAAAGCAGGCCCTAGATCTCATGAATAAGTACAAGTGTGTATTATTCGCTTACTAAAATAATAAATTGTCATTCTATCAGTTAGCGTTAACTAATTGTATTATTTTTTTACTTCAGGAAAGACATGGACGCCTGGGAGTTAAGAATGTTAGGCATAGGACGTTCTGACCTGGTACGAGCAAAGCCTGTGCGTGAGAAGAAGGCAAAGAGCGAAAAGAGCAAAGAATAGGAACTCGGGTGCTCTGATGACTTAACTGACTCAAACAATATCTCTGATCTTAGCAGTAAGAACAATGTTGATCTACAGACTAGTTTTAGTTTTAAATCGGGCGTTAATTTTGATAGTCCGCAACAGCCAGAAAATCAGAAAAAAGTTAGCATAGAGCAAAAAAAGCTAAAGTCAGAAAAGCATCAGAGCACGGGTGACCTAAAAGAAGCTCAATCAGATAAAGTTGAGCCTGAAAACCAGTCCACTAACAAAGAGAAGAGTAAGACCATAATTAGTAGTATTAAAAGCTTCTTTAAGTTTTAAATTAACTTCTGAGTAGTGAAACAAAACTTAAATTCCTAAGTTCTATTTTCTCATCCTGTAAGGAACATTCCTCACTGCCAGTTCAAAATTGACGTTATACCTAGCAGTATCAAGCGTTACTTAAACCACACCTTGAGTATTGTTTCATTATTTGGGTGTAAGTTATTTGTTTTCGATGTTTATCACATTTGTTTTCCACTGGTATTTCATCTTCACACATTCTTACATATTAGCATGTACTTTAGTTTATGTAAATATACTTTTGACTACATGAACATGTTTCATTGCTGCCATTTTATTCTTATTACACATTGCTATTTTATCAGTAGCATGTAATCTAAATCATCTTATTTGGTTTATAACATGGTAAAATTCCTTTAAAAATGGCATAATGTTGGTCCCCTCATTTTGGAATGAATAATATATTAACATTAAATCCTAGTGCCATATAATGTGGAATATTTTAAATTGTGTGGGAAACATGAAGGGTAAAATATTTTTATTATTTCAATGAATGAAATGAAATGGGAAAATATGGTTCTGAGGATGGGATCTGGGATTTTATATACAACTAGCGCCATCTCTTGGTAGGCGATATTGTGTAAATCTCATTGTTCATCAAAATAAATGCCTTATAAAAGATTTCTTTTCCAGGTAGGTAGTTATGTTTAGAATAGCAACCACATTGCAATTAATGTCCTTAGCCTCTCCCAACGACTGTGTGTTGTCATTGTTCATTTTATTACTACTATCATAGGTTACATTATTTTGTCTCAATTTAAAAATTATTTAAAATGCTATATTAGTATGTAGAGGGCCTACGTAATAAAGGGTACTTGATGTTCTAATTTATTAAAAGTAGGTAAGTAATCTTAGTGTGAAGATTTCTTTAATGTTCTAATACCTCATTACAGCTTTTATTTGATGCTGTGTGGATGGCAGAAGGGGATCAATGATAAACAACAACTCTGTTTTAAAGACCCTTTTTTATTTCAATTGTTACAAAATATAATTACAATAAACCTTTTATTTACAATTGAGTGACCTTTTTATTTACACCAACGGAATTAAATTGATAATTGAAACTATACAAGTAAAAGTGCAAGTATATCATTCTAACAGAGCAGCTTTTTCAATCACCAGACTAATTTTATCATTTTTATCATAAGAATAAATAGATATTCTAATATTTTCTATAAATATTGCCTGATAATTAAAAAATCTACCCCGAGTTTGTTTGCATAAGAATTATGTACTTTGGTAATTCACATAATAATTGTTAATAATAACTACAATATAAATGTAAAATTGCACAAAGTTATAATAATTATTGCAGATATAAAAGACAAAGGAAATAATCTTCTAAAAATTGAAATAATAATATCAGGTTATTAGGCCATGTACAATTTTGCTGAACTTGTTTTCATATAAAAATGTTATAATTTGTTAATATATGAAGCAGAAAATATTGCTTTGATAGGTATATCAATCTTTAATTTGGCATATTAAAATTTTACTATCATTTATCTAAACAACTTATACATATAAAGAACAGGTGAATATATTATTTATGTATTTAAGGGGTATTAGTGAATAAATACAAATAAATGCATTAGAGTGTAAGATATATTAGACGCACATGACATAACTAAGCAAAAATATGGTTAATAAGTTAATAGAAATAAAATAATGATTAGAATTTACACACTACGTAAGTACATTTTACTTTAGTCGTGTGCATTTGTTGTAATGAGCAATTAAAAACTGTTAATTTATACTATAATTGGTTGTTATAAAAACTGGTTCTTGATTTATTAAAAACTAAAATGGCAATATGTGACTAAAACGCACACATGTCAATCCTCTCACTTATGTATAAAGGCACAAGCAATCAAACTATGGAACACTGTAGAGTTCATCTAGCCAGCTATTGTAAGTTGTCTGTCAGTCAAAACAATGCCCTCCACTCGGCTATTCAAGCCATTACTAAGTAACTAAACTGTCTTTCAAAGTGATGAATAGTGTCTGAATGCAAATGGTAGTAAACAAATAAACGCAAATGTCCTGGCTTATGGCGCTACTCCATTTTAATATTTCTAACATTTTATGCAGTCTACTTGCAGACAATCCGTTTAATAGTAACAGTACATGTGCAATATTGGAATTGCTCTGCTTGGGGAACCAGACTAATTTTGTAACAGAATATATTATGAGTGGGAGAAAAAAATACGTGTTGTCCATTGGAATTGAAGCCACACCATGAATGAACTGTAACAACAATGACAACAGTACTATGTCATATTTGAAGGTCACGAGAGTCGTCCACGGCGATGTTTGAGGTTGTTCTGGGGGTGACGAGGGTGCAAAAGCTGCCAAGTCATTCACTACCTCGCCATCACCTGCTGCAACGACGTCATGCCTCGATGGCAACGTATGAGTGGTCTCCACTTCAGAATCGACATTCCCAAGAATACCATTTAATAGAGAATAATCACTAGACACTTCGATGTTTGTTATTATGGTAGGCTCGTAAATTTCAGGTATCGGAGACTTATTTGTTGACTCTGGAAAGAAAAATAAGATTGATGTTAAGCACGTTTAGCTACATGGGATACAAGTATCACAACAAAAATGGTTCTCGCTAATGACCTCTGGGTAACTCGTCACTGTTTTTGCCTGATATAAGCTGAAGCCTGTTGTGAGAATTCTCTAAAATTCTTTTTCTGCGAGCCTCACGACGAGCTGCAGCATCAGCCATGTTCACGATTTGACACAATTTGACAGATGCTACTACGATTGACAGATTTGACATTCGTTATGACAGCGCATCGTAGGAAGGAAGACCATAGAGAATTAAAAAAGTCTTTAATGATGGATTGTAAGGGAGAGGGCATAAGCAAAGTTTATGCTTGCTCTTATGAATGGGCCATAACATAATACCATTGAATTTCAAATTATAAAATAAATAATGAGTTGGTAAAATGTATTCCTAGTAGATTAAGCAGTTAACGTAGTCCTGCATCCATCCCACCTGCAAAACCCCTTTTACTTACCCCCATAACTACGCAAGATGTCAGCATATAAAAAAAAATACAAAATATTGCATACATATTGCAAAATACAAATCTTTCAAAGGTCAAAGGTCACTCTCGTCGAGTGACCCATAATAATAAACCACTAGCCCATGTCATGTCTTCTCCATGATGTCCATGATGGTTTGATGCTCGATTACAGCAAACCAGAGACAATCTATAAAGATAAAAAAATATCACAGTCATTTATTTATTGTTCCTATCAGTTGAAATACATTTTATTTATTGTTTATCATTACTTGCAGATTTTTTTTTTTAAAAACTTAATTATTTATGCTATTTAAAATTATAACCTTATTAGTCCTTTTATTTTATGCTTGTGAAATCACCCAGCTAAATTTTGTTCATTTACAAAGTATTAAACTGATAGTATAAGCCGGAAGTGTGTGTGCTGTCTGTGCGAGTAGCAACGCCGAGGATGGAAAGCGCGGGAAACGNTCAAGCATTCTTGGTCTTTTAAACACATTCCTATTCCTGTTCATAACGATGATTATTCCATTATAGCAGTTTCTGTAAATGGTATTTGTTTTGTTTCCATTTATATTCCACATCCATCCTCTATTATATATGATGAAATTTTACTTAATATTTTACCGTCCCTTCCAAAGCCAATTTTAATAATGGGAGATTTTAACGCCCAGCATGCTTCTTGGGGTAGTTCTTCCTCTAATTATTATGGTTCAAGAATCTTAGATTTTTTAGATGTGAATAATTTATGCTTACTGAACTCCGGGGAACCTACACGTCGCACTGCTAGTTCTGAAGGATTCAGCGCTCCTGATCTATCCATATGTTCTCCTTCCTTAGCGTCATCTTTAACCTGGCACGCTCTTAGCTCTTCATATGGCAGTGATCATTATCCTTTATTTATTACTTTACCATTTTCTGACAAATCAATCCCAATGCGTCCCCCTCGATTGAAGTACCAATTGATTAATGCTGATTGGAAACGTTTTAAAGAAAAAGTAGAGGAAAGATTAGAGTCACTTCCTTCCTTACAGTTAGACAATCATAGCAATTGTGCTGATACTTTCACTCAAGTTTTAATTGATGTGGCGGACAATATTTTTCCTGTTAAAAAGAATCGTAGTAGATATATTCCTCCTCCCCCATGGTGGGATGAAGAATGCGCTGAAGCTATTAAAAAAAGAAAATTAGCCGAACGTGCTTACAGAGCATTTTCCTCTTCAGAAAACCTAGAAACTTTGTCTGAACTTATAAACAGCACCCGTAAGTTATTTAAACAAAAAAAATGGGAAGGATGGAAATCATTCTGCACTTCGATATCACCAGACATTTCCCCATCTGAGGTATGGAAAAATATTCGGAGATTTAGATCTTGTTTCCGAGAGAGCAATCCCTCGTTCATAGATAAATCAATTGCTGATTGCTTTCTAGATAAATTAGCGCCTCCTTCTGTGCCTCCTATAGATATAGTACATCATGAATTAATCTATCCTATTTGCACTGAAAACCTTACAGATTTAAATGCTCCATTTACTTTTTCTGAATTAAAAGGCATTTTGTCGTATGTGAAAGATTCGGCTCCTGGTATTGACGGTATTCCTTATTCTTTTTTCATTAATTTAAGTGATTCTTGTCTTTCGTATTTTCTTTCAATAATTAATTCCATTATGATTAACGGTAAAATGCCTCCGTCNAGTGGCAGGCTATGCCTGCATTAGAGAGGACCGTCTAGACGGTTATGGCGGTGTTGCACTGCTGGTCAAGCATTCTTGGCCTTTTAAACATATTCCTATTCCCGTTCATAACGATGATTATTCCATTATAGCAGTCTCTGTAAATGGTATTTGTTTTGTTTCCATTTATATCCCACATCCATCCTCTATCATATATGATGAAATTTTACTTAATATTTTACCGTCCCTTCCAAAACCTATTTTAATAATGGGAGACTTTAACGCCCAGCATGCTTCTTGGGGTAGTTCTTCCTCTAATTATTATGGTTCAAGAATCTTAGATTTTTTAGATGTGAATAATTTATGCTTACTGAACTCCGGGGAACCTACACGTCGCACTGCTAGTTCTGAAGGATTCAGCGCTCCTGATCTATCTATATGTTCTCCTTCCTTAGCGTCATCTTTAACCTGGCACGCTCTTAGCTCTTCATATGGCAGTGATCATTATCCTTTATTTATAACTTTACCATTTTCTGACAAATCAATCCCAATCCGTCCCCCTCGATTGAAGTACCAATTGATTAATGCTGATTGGAAACATTTTAAAGAAAAAGTGGAGGAAAGATTAGAGTCACTTCCTTCCTTACAATTAGACAATCATAGCAATTGTGCTGATACTTTCACTCAAGTTTTAATTGATGTGGCGGACAATATTTTTCCTGTTAAAAAGAATCGTAGTAGATATATTCCTCCTCCCCCATGGTGGGATGAAGAATGCGCTGAAGCTATTAAAAAAAGGAAATTAGCCGAACGTGCGTACAGAGCATTTTCCTCTTCAGAAAACCTAGAAACTTTGTCTGAACTTATAAACAGCACCCGTAAGTTATTTAAACAAAAAAAATGGGAAGGATGGAAATCATTCTGCACTTCGATATCACCAGACATTTCCCCATCTGAGGTATGGAAAAATATTCGGAGATTTAGATCTTGTTTCCGAGAGAGCACTCCCTCGTTCATAGATAAATCAATTGCTGATTGCTTTCTAGATAAATTAGCGCCTCCTTCTGTGCCTCCTATAGATATAATACATCATGAATTAAACTATCCTATTTGCACTGAAAACCTTACAGATTTAAATGCTCCATTTACTTTTTCTGAATTAAAAGGCATTTTGTCGTACGTGAAAGATTCGGCTCCTGGTATTGACGGTATTCCTTATTCTTTTTTCATTAATTTAAGCGATTCTTGCCTTTCATATTTTTTATCAATAATTAATTCCATTATGATTAACGGTAACATACCTCCGTCATGGAAATCTCAAGAGGTAATTCCAATCCTCAAACCGAACTCTCCTGTAGGTAACTCCACTTCGTATCGGCCTATTGCTTTATCGTCTGTTCTTCTCAAAATTGCAGAGCATTTAGTTAAAAATAGATTAGAATGGTATTTAGAAAGCAAAGGTATATTAGCTACTACTCAATTTGGTTTTAGAAAAGGGAAGAGTACTATGGATAGTTTAGGAATTTTTACTACAGATATTCGCTTAGCCTTTACTAATAACCAATGCCTCCTTGCTGCCTTTCTTGATATCACAGCCGCTTACGACGGTGTTAATTTATCTATACTTAAAAATAAACTGGTAAAGCTACAAGTACCGATTACCCTAATCAATTTCATTATTAGTATGTTATCAGAAAGATCTATTAACGTTGCTACTCAAGATTCAACAGTTTTGACCCGAGTTCTTTGGAGGGGATTACCCCAGGGGTCTGTTTTAAGCCCATTGTTGTATAACGTATATACGTACGACCTTGAATCTGTTTTTATTAATAAAATTAATATTCTACAGTACGCTGATGACCTTCTTTTGTATGTTTCTGGTTATTCAGTAAGCGAATTATGTAATTGCTTAACTTCAGCTTTAGGTTCCCTTAAAAACTGGTTAGATAATAACTGTCTTTCATTGTCGGTCCCCAAAAGTTCTGTGGTACTTTTTAGTAGAATGCGGATGCCACCTCCTATTTTTGTTTACTATGATAATATCACTATCCAAGCTTGTAAGGAGGCAAAGTTTTTAGGTATAATATTAGATGACAAACTATCAGGGGTTCCTCATTGTTATTATGTCACGGCCAAATGTGAGCGTCTATTAAATATTTTGCGCTGCCTCTCAGGGGTCTGGTGGGGTGCTCACCCTTCCTCCCTAAAACTTCTCTATAACGCCATAATACGTAGTGTTCTTGATTATGGAGCTTACTTCTTAGAACCTTGCAATCTAGTCGGTCTGAAAAAAATGGACAGCATCCAATCAAAGGCTCTTCGTATTATTTCTGGTACAATGAAATCTAGCCCTATTAATTCTTTACAGGTTGAATGCACTGATCCTCCTCTTAGATTGCGCCGTCAATTCTTATCTGACAAATTTGTATTTAGAGTTTTACAATATTCAAATCACCCCCTATTCTTAAAATTACAACTTTTATCTGATTCTATTGGGACATCTCCTTACTGGGCTCATAAAAACCTTCCCTGTCTAGTTTTAAGTTACCGTAAATTTATATCTTTTCAAGCTCCAACTCACAGAACTCCAAAATTTCCCATATTTTCTGCTAGTTTTGAGTCGTTAGTTCTTTCTCCTGAAATAATATATGATTTAGATATCCCAAAAAATTCACTTGACGCTAAATATAAATTTAACTTAATTATTGAGGATAATTGGGCCGATTGGCATCATATTTATAGCGATGCATCCAAACACTCCAACGATGGTGTGGTCGGAGTAGGGCTTTTCCATCATCAGTATGGTATTCATGAAAAGGTCAGATTACCTCCTGAAACATCAGTTTTCACCGGGGAGTGCTGTGGAATTTATAAAGCCATAGAATATGTCCAAATTATGAAACTGAAAAAAACAGTAATTTTCGTAGATTCTAAGAGCGCTTTACAAGCCTTAGAAAAATTTCCCTTTAAATGCAATATTCAATACCCAATTGTAATTAAATGCAGAGAGTTGCTTCATAAATGTTCTACTTTGGGGTACAAAATAATCTTCGCCTGGATTCCGAGTCATAGCCATATTTTCGGTAATGAAAAGGCTGATAAATTTGCCAATGAAGCTGTTGTGAATGGTGATATGATTAGCTATAAAAATTACTGTCATGACCTTTTGTCCCTCCCTAAGTCCTACTTGCGTGAATCATGGGAATTGGATTGGGCGCACACTAGTGCAACTAAAGGAAAATGGTACAAGATCATTCAACCAACCATTCCTTTAAAACCATGGTTTTTTAAAATGAAACTGGGAAAGGTCTCTACCTCTAATATTATCCGTATGAGAATTGGCCATGCCTGTATACCTACGCATCTTTTTAGACTTAAAATTGTGAATTCTGATTTGTGTGAGTGTGGTACTGGCACAGGTGACTTAAATCATCTGTTTTTCATTTGTCCGTTACATGACCGATCCTCTTTCATCGAATCCCTTATATCCTTACGAGTACCATTCCCAACTTCCATAGCCTGCCTCCTTAATATGCATTCTATTGATATTTATAATACCCTATCTGTTTATATGAGTAATAATAACATAAAAATTTAATCTACCTAATATTTTGTTTTCTCCTTAACTTTCCTGATCCTTTGCAACCTTTTTTTTTTCCGTTCTCCATTTTTACTTTCCTATACGTTTCCCTAACTTTACCTTACCTCGTCGTGGCTGACGCACAAGCCGTGCATGCCATAATAGAAAAAAAAAAAAAAAAAAAAAAAANCGCCGAGGATTTTTGTTGTTTGGCGCCTTTTGGGGCCGGGCGGTTGATCTGATAATAAATTCATCACTCAATTAGTTAGTGAACAAACAAGTAAATCTTATTTAGTGAACGTTAAAACATGGGTGACAAAGGAGACGGAGGTAATTGTTCAACCGTGTTACTTATAAAATGCATCTACCGATTTAGTTCATGACAGCTCGTTTGGACAAAGTTGATTGTATTTATTGGTTATCAAATGTAAATCGCTTCAATTGATTCGGTTTTAGAAACGTTCGATGATGCGGTGGAGGAAAGAGTTATCAACGAAGAATATAAGATATGGAAGAAGAACACCCCTTTTCTGTACGACTTGGTGATGACCCATGCTTTGGAGTGGCCCTCATTGACTGCCCAGTGGTTGCCTGACGTTACCAGGCCTGAAGGGAAGGACTACTCGGTTCACAGGTTCGTATGTGCAGAACGCTATGCATTTTACATCAATGTGAGGTTATGTTTGGTGTTCATATCATAGTCTTTGTTTCCAGTCTACCTGGCAATTATTATCAGGCCTCCTAGACATTTACATACAAATTATACCAGTTTCTACAGCACAATCTAAACATTTAGCATCACCAGCTCATAATTTGTGTGATTTATCAATAGAATATATTGTATGGAAGAGTGGTATTTATTTATAACATGATGTTTGTAGATTGATCCTGGGCACACATACATCAGACGAACAGAACCACCTGCTGATTGCTAGCGTCCAGCTGCCCAATGAGGATGCCCAGTTTGATGCCAGTCACTATGATAATGACAAGGGTGGTAAGTGAAAAACATAATTCATACCAAAACTTATGGTATTAAACTAATTTAAAAAGTTAATGTTGATGAATGAATGGCTTAGAATTCAACCCTCTTTCTCTGAGACTGCTATAGCATATTTTGATACTTGGTATGATATAAAAGATAATAATTAAGTACCTACATCAAAAAAAAAGAATCTAAATATTTTTGTCACAATGGCAGTGTATAATGTAAGTTTTTCCAAATATGTGGTATTTTACAAAAAAAGTATTTTTTCAGAATTTGGAGGTTTTGGTTCTGTATCCGGTAAGATTGATATTGAAATCAAGATCAACCATGAAGGTGAAGTGAACAGGGCACGATACATGCCCCAGAACCCTTGCGTCATAGCAACAAAGACACCATCGTCAGACGTTCTCGTCTTTGACTACACAAAGCACCCATCCAAGCCAGAACCATCAGGAGAATGCCACCCGGATCTTAGGTAGGTTTTAAATGATTGCAACTTCAACTTGTTTTATGTACTTGTTTACGTGATAAACATTTTATGTACTTAACATTGTATCTTGTTTTTCCAGATTACGAGGTCATCAGAAAGAAGGTTACGGATTATCATGGAACCCCAACCTGAATGGCTACTTGCTCTCAGCTAGGTAAGCATTATTTTCAACAATTTCCTGCATTAGCAGGGACCTATTCTATTATGTCGAAGAATAGTAGTAATACTCTATTATGTAAGGTTTATACAACAATAGCTTGTATTTGGCAGACAAGCTCTAGATTCTGGCTACACAGTTCTGCAGCAGTGAGAATGAGAGGGAATAGTCTACACCATTTTATAAAGAGGAAAGATTTGATTGTATTGAGTAGGCTCCAACTACATGACCAACCTGAAAATTCTTTCACCATTAGAATCCTATTTTTTTTCTGATGAACATAGATGGTACGAAGTTCACTAGGCTAGCTAGTCTGGGGTTTCCTAAGTGTGCGCGTAGAAAGTAAAGAACGCGCCGTGAGTCAATCCTTTACGTCGCGTTGGCACTTTAAAACTGTTCATACTCACTACCACTCCCACGTCTTTACTCGCCTGTCTTTCGACTGTGTCTTTTTCAAAGGGTCTGGTGCCGACAAACACTAAATTCGTAAAAAATATTGGGAACCCCTGTCTTGATAACGTGAATAGGCTAGATGACAAAATTTCAATTATTTGTCCGTCAGACAGAAAATATTAGACTCATATTTTTTATTTTCTTTCATAATTAAATAATAACAATGCTACATCGAGTTAAAGTGGCGCGATACGTTACGCTTGAGTAGAATTTTTACTCAAAAGTGACGCCACGCGACATTTCAACTCAATATAATACTGTAATTATTGGATTATGGAACGCACCTGTAACGCCCCTGGGTCTGCGGGTGTCTATGGGCGACGGTAATCACTTACCATCAGGTAATCCGTCTGCTCGTTTGATTTGATATTGATTGATTTCATTTGATAGAATTTCGATTTAATTACCCAGTCATCATCCCTATTAATAAACTAATGTTTATCCCACAGCGACGACCACACCATCTGCCTGTGGGACATCAACGCGACACCGAAGGAGGGCCGCGTGATCGAGGCCAAGTCGGTGTTCACGGGCCACACGGCCGTGGTGGAGGACGTGGCCTGGCACCTGCTGCATGAATCGTTGTTCGGCTCCGTGGCGGACGACCAGAAGCTCATGATTTGGGACACGAGGTAAGGATTTGTAGCATTTTTGTAGACTAGTGATGCCGGTGTGACTTTTACTTTAGTGATTATCTGTTTTCAATATTTGTTTAAAAGGGAAAGTAACCAATCAGGTTTCATATTCCGCGACACCTGTCGTGGTCATCACACCACATGTACGATAAGCTATAAGACTTACGGCTTGACTACGATATAGCACGCACGTCATGTCTGACAATGTCAAAATGCACCAAAAAATACCACGTTACAAGATCTGGTCGCGACCGCTACTGATGACATGGCCGATCTTGTGCTGGTGCGAGGATATAGAATTTATTGTACACTACATAATCAAAACGGCGGATTACTGCCATAAAGTTAAACTCTCAAATATGCATATTTATAAGTTTTATCTTATGCATGTTTGACTCTTTGAGAGTTAGACCTCATGTCAAAGTCAAAGTCAAAATTTCTTTATTTGTTTGGACTAATAAATAGTTCTTACAAATCGTCATTTTGCTCTTAAGGAGCCTCTACATGTCTCATAATCTTTTTACCCTACCAGCGCTTCGAGACCAACATTTGGCAAGTGCTGAGAAGAAGCGCCGCAACAAACTCAGTCACCACTGTCTGCCGGTTAATATAAATAAATAGAAATAGTAGTAGTAGGTACATTCGATTCAGGAGCAGTTCACTGAATTTACCATGCATTCTTGTATGGTGTATCTTATAAGAATGGGTATACAAGATTGCGTGGTATATTAAACAAGGTAGTGACGTGCTAATATCTAGACTTACATATTAAGATACTAGTAGAAATGACTCGCATACATAAATTTGAATAACTTGGATTGACCAGTCCCCGAAAGCAGCGCCTGTTCACAGACATGACGAGTGAACCAGCCATCGCTTCACTCGACCATATTAGAGGGAATGTAACGACCCGCCTCACTACGCCACCACCCCAGAGACATTTTAGTGAGAATGACATGCTAGTAATCCAAAACGGTGCTATTTTGGTGGTCTAATCGCTAGGAAGCGTCTTTTCCTGATAGCCTACATCCTAGTTAACGTGTAACCGTCTACTACAGATGCAACAACACATCGAAGCCGTCTCACACGGTGGACGCGCACACGGCGGAGGTCAACTGCCTCAGCTTCAACCCCTACTCCGAGTTCATCCTCGCCACCGGCAGCGCCGACAAGACCGTGAGTTCGTTCGTTCGATTCAGCCGTGTTCTATTACATATAGGAGGACAAAAAACTACAGCTTCTGCTGTACATCACTCGAAGGGAATCCCTTGTGTCTCTCTACACATACTATCCATTTCCGAGCAAAGTGTATTAGAAATTACATTAATTCTTAGATTGTTTGAGAAAGTAATAAGAAATGATTTCATTCTGGTTCTATTTGCAGGTGGCGTTGTGGGACCTGAGGAACCTGAAGCTCAAGCTGCACTCGTTTGAGTCGCATAAGGACGAGATCTTCCAGGTGCAGTGGTCTCCCCACAATGAGACCATCCTGGCTAGCAGTGGCACAGATAGGAGGTATGAAACCAAGGAATACTAGATTGTTGGAGAAAAATTATACAGCCGACTAATGCACTGAGTAAAAAACTCAGTGTCACATTAGAAATTCACACACACAAATCTATACTATACTAATATTATAAAGCTGAAGAGTTTGTTCACTTGAACGCGCTAATCTCAGGAACTACTGGTCCGATTTGAAAAATTATTTCAGTGTTAGAAAGCCGATTTATCGAGGAAGGTATAGGCTATACCATCACCTTACAAGTAATAGAGGCAGAGCAACAATGAAAAATGTTGCAAAAACGGGTTTTCATGCATACTAAGTCGCGGGCACAGCTAGTAGTCAAAATATGTGCTCATTATCATTCACTGCAGTATCAGTACTCAATGTTCGAATAGTCTTTAGTTCTATGCAAGCAATTTAAACTATTTACATTATGACTTCGCTGCTGTCATCATTGCTGTCACGAGCAATGTGTTCTGTTTTTGTGCATATTGCTTCGACACCGGCCCCGCCCCCTTGTCACATCTTCCTTTAGTTTCCATGATCTGTGGGCCTTATCGAATGGTGGTAGTATGTTTATAGTCTGGTCTGTGAGCACGTAGAATTTTGTCCAATGACCCCAAGCTTAACATCTTTTTCGCTCGCGCGTAATTATATTGCTATCGCGACTGTGCGACGGGCGGCCGCAGTGAGTGTGCGAGTGCTACAGCAATGAATTTATGAAGCAGCAATTTATGAATAGGTAGCTTGGGGTCATTGTACAAAATTATAATTGCTCGGTGACCGGACTTTAGTAGTAATATTATCCATCTCTTGCCTCAGGTTGCACGTGTGGGACCTGTCGAAGATCGGTGAGGAGCAGACGGCGGAGGACGCGGAGGACGGCCCGCCCGAGCTGCTGTTCATCCACGGCGGCCACACCGCCAAGATCTCCGACTTCTCCTGGAACCCCAACGAGCCCTGGGTCATCTGCTCCGTCTCCGAGGACAATATCATGCAGGTCAGCGCTATTGGCTTGTCGTTAACTGAATGGACAATTTGACACCATTCTCCAATAATTCTAAATCACAACTTTTCTAAAAGACACTTCATTCTGGTCTTAAAAACTTAATTAATTTTAAATTACCTGTTAATTACGATTTTTGGTCGCATTGAAATTGAAAAAAGTAGTTTATTTGAGTTGACATAATAGTGACGTCACTTGCTTGTAGTGCCATACAAAATCTATGGGAGTTTCGTTTTGACAGTTTTAAAAAGTACGTCAATTGATTGGTGGTGTCAACATGTCTATTATTTGAAAGGCCCACCTTACGGGCAAACGGGCAGCTAGATGCAGCTACTATCGACAGCATCAAGCAGCGACTGCATGGCAAACATTATATTCTACGTACACACGCCGTGTATGTTGATCACTGGCTAGGGCTGCCATCCGTCTGGGTTTCCCCGAATTTATCCTAGTTTAGAGAGCGTCCGAGCGGCGTTTTATTTGTTGTCCGGGTATAAAAAATTCAATGTTAAGCCAATGCCGGCCGAGGTGACTGAGTTTGATGAAAACCTGTTGACATATCCGGGTTCTGGGCTTCAAAATTCGGGATTTTCACGCGTCTTGCCCTGGTTGCCAAAGTTTAGAGATGGCAACCCTATCACTAACTACTCGAGCTGTCCGTATATGGCGAGCGAAATATGGAGCTCATGTGCTGTCATCTACCTGTCCGCGTCGACATAAACTGTTTTCTTTATCTTTACGGATCGTGCGTGGTACACGACGAGTGCACGTAGCAAAGTTTAATTCATACAGATGTTTTGATTGTAATTATTTCTCGTTCAGGTGTGGCAAATGGCTGAAAACATCTACAACGACGAAGAGCCGGAAACGCCGGCGTCAGAGTTGGAATCGGGCGTCAACGTCAACCACGGTTAGCACGTCGCGCCACGCCACGCCACGCCGCGCCACGTCACGCCACGCCACACACTTACCGCGCGCCGCGTGAACTTACGTCTACCCTACATGTTTCAGGTTCCACTAGTTTTGTTTTGTTCTTTCACTCGACCGTTAAGTCTCTGTCATCATCTGTTTTGAAGTTAACGGTATATTGAAATGGGTATACACACATTTTAGAAATTCAGCGTGAAGAATACGGCAATACGGCCACTTTGTGTTCTCTAAATTACATTACACAAAAGATTATAAAATTAGATCCTAAATGCTGTGTATACTTTTTCTCAAGGTGTTTTTGCCAGTAGAGACTCATAATAATATCATGCGAGTGATTTGCATACAATGAAAAATATTAATGTATCAAAAGTATGTGTAGGCAAGTCACTGACTATCTCTCTCTTATTTGTATTTTACTCGAATCACTAAATAATCAAATCATCTTTAAAATATTGTTACCGATCGCAATAGGCGTTATTAGATATTCAAATGAACAGTCATGCAATAGCTCGATAATGTAGACATGATCACTAATGCTTTATCTATTACAATAGACATGATACAACAATTTAAAGACTGCTAAAACTAGTAATTCTGTGTTGACTTAACTAGTAATTACATTCGGCGTCGTTCGGCGGCGCGTGCGCAGAACAGCGATGTGAACACGCGAATTTAGCCAATAAGTGGATGTTAATTTGATGTTACGACAATTATTATTACGTCTAAAACCCCCTCACTCTCCACAACACATATGCAACGACAAAAAGCTATGCTAGCAAACTCAAATTAACAATAGGACTTGATTGAATGCTATCCATTTATGTTCTATTCACCATGATCTCACAGGCATCATGCATAAATTTATTTTTGTAGTGTTCCATTTTTGTAACTCAGGGGGTTGTATTTTTACTTTTAGGGTAAAAAGTACTGTAATTATTATATTTAAATTAGGTAATATCTGGTATGTTCCTGACAACGGATGAGTCGGACTTTGTCCAAAAAAGTGGTTTATGTGCACCAGAATCTCGGGGACATTTTGTGAAATACGTATTTTGATTCGAGAAAGCTTTAGATATTTTATTTTTGTATTTGAAAAGTGAGTTAGCCAAAAATATTCGTGCATGTAAACCACTAAAAGATGCTTTATTTCTAAGGATGCGGAACAAAATAATTGAAAATTCTAAGTTGTGACTGTTCACTTACACCGTGAAATGAATTCCATTTTAATTTATTGTATCCCTTATGGCACAAGAAGTGAAGATTTTTCTGTTGGTATTATGGTATTTTCGGTAAAACTGGTTGATTCTGGATTGTTCTGGATTGAAAGCACCTCGTGGTTCCGTGGTCTTTTATGTAGAAAACACGCAAGTGATGTTGGAAGCCTATATCAAAGAGGCATAATATGGCAATAGTTGTCGCTTCCAACTTTGTTTGCATGGTTTCTGAATGAATGTGCCTTCGAACTTGAGTTTCTTTCCATCATGTGTAAGGATATGCCTAGTCTGAGATGACTGACCAAGGGTATTTTATAAAGCTAACTCAGAAATGGAATGTAATTTTAAGCTCTGCTAATTATTATTATGATTAAAAGTATCGTAATAATTATTATTGTTTTTATAATTATCACCTCCTTCATATTTTTATTTCTTCCGAAATCTGCATGTCTACGAAAATTTAGATTAACTAGCATGAAGTATGCAATAATACCGTTTATCTTCATGTTATAAACAAATACTTTTTGCATTAGCCTATTGAATTAAGTCTGAGTAAAAATGCATCATAGAAAAAAAAAGTTTATTAAAATAACAAGGATATTCTTATTCTTTGTGAATTACTAACAGCAATAATATTAAATGTTAACTTTATCAGAAAACAGCTTGGGCAGTTTTTGCCAACATTCGTAGTATTTCGCGTCGAGTTTCTGGCATGTCTCGGCGCCCCACTTGGTGATGGCCATGCTTAGGGAAGACTCGAACATAAACGCCTGTGAAAAGGAGAATTTTAATTTAATGGGCGTCCAAACTTCCAAAGACTTTTTATGATATCAAAATCAAAATTATCTTTATTTGTTTAGACTAATTAAATTAGTAGATAAAGCATGTGATATGGCCACTGTGAGTGGAGTGTGAGTGTAAGTGTACCTATTGTGATGAAATAATTGGGATCTATGCGTAAGTACCAATTTTTACATTAAGGCTTGGTATTTCTGCTAAAGTAGGTATTTCGCGCTGTCAAAATCTGCGCGCGCAATACTTCGCCGAAGACAGCGCGCCAAAGAGCTCTCGCGGCTACACAGTATAGAAATACGCAGTTTGGAAATACGCAGTTGGTTAGGTTAGGTTGACTTCCTTCCGTTCAAGCGTCACACTCACAGCACTTTCTAATACAAATGATATCCAAGTGATACAAATTAAAACAACTTTCAAAATTTTTGGGAATATATTTTAGAATCGAATAAATATAGAATATAACTGCCAAAGTAAACACGGTTCAAAGAGGCGTGGCGTCACCCGACCTTCCGGAAGTTCCGCGCCGGCTAAAAGAATTTCAAGATTACGTCACCCGACCTATCGGTAGATCCTCGGGAGCTTGAGCGATTGGAAAAACATTTTATGATCAGTTACTCGTTGTAGCGATTATTTAGAGCTTGGATAATAAATTATAGTTGTTGTTAATGTATGGCGTTAATTGATTTAATTATGTGAAATATTCTTATGAATCGATCAAGACAACAAAGTGGAGGTTAAATGCGTAATTAAAGATATAAATACTAAAATAAGAAACTTAATCAAAATTCTAACAACGCCATGGGTCGGTATTAGAAACCAAATTATGAAAAGTGTTTCTATTACCGCCCTTATTTAAAATTGTATTTAAGCCACATAAATACAGCGAGAGGGCTATATTGAGGGTTTATTAAGGAAACTAAAGTACGAATTAATATTGTTATGCAAAAACATGTTGGTATACTCATTTTAAATGTGTTAAAATCGCTAATTAATAACAAGGTGCACCTTAAGTAGCTGGGAGCGCGTCAGTATGAAAAGTGCGTCTGTTGCGGGCGCGTCCCATTTAATGTGAAATAACTCCGTTTACTGGTTATTTACGAACACAAACTTTAATCGTTTTGATAGTCAATAAACATATCTAGATATTTTTTAAGTAACGTGTTTTCTGGAACCTGTTATTATGTCTTTTATGAAAGAAAGAAAAATAGGGCGGTAATAGGATACAAATTTTGGGGGGTCGTTAGTGCGCCTACACTTACGTTACTTATACAGACTTCTCTTGATATTCATCTCACCCAAAAGATGCAAGTACAATAAAAGAACTAAAATAAAAAAATGTGTGATGTACAGACGCCGGCACGTCAATCTAAACACTATGGGGTATTAAGTAGTTGTATTGTAGTAGCATCCCAACTTATTGGCCATATTTAATGTTAATTAATGTATATTACATTAATTAACATTGTGTAATACTCTGTTAGTTTTCTCAATAAATAAATTGATGGCTTGTAAGATTTCGGCAACACAGAGTAATGAGGGGATCCTACTACTTGACCTGCTTTTTAAAAGATTCAGCCAAAACTAACCTTTAAATTGTTCGCCAACAGACAGCATGGACAGCCTGGCCAGGTGGAAGGACGACACCCCTCCCAATGGCAATGACACCACAAACTCCAACGAGAACAGCCAGTTCAACACCGTCATCTACAACACCTCAGACAAAGACTGCAAAGCTAACGACACCTACAACAGTAATCAGAAGGAAGGCTTCGACAGCCATGATGGCAGAGGCAGCAAAAAACACGCTTCTATAGTCACCATAAATAATAATAATAGCTGGGTCTCCAATCAGTCGGATGACAGCAAAGGGTATCTAGAAAGAGACAAAGAAATCCCCCATGATAATAAAAGAGATAGTTTTGAATGGAGCAGACTAGATGGGTGGAACCCTGTGATAGATAGACTGACGGGACTTAGGAACGAAAGCTATTATATGGCGACGGGTCAGGATGCCCCGGTTACGAATGGACACGGCCACCATTATAGGCCGAATCTAGGCCATGTGCACATGTCTAGATCGCCGCCTGCGCACCATAATGTCATCATAGAAGAAGACTATGGGACGACGACAAGGTAATTTTATTTTATTAGTTTTTTTTACAATTTTTTTACTAAATATGCTAATTTTAGACTAGGTAATCAGATGCCAAGCCTATGTTACGCCACACACTTTAATGCTTTTTGCCTTAAAATTTATCTTTTTTCACATGCTTAGCCCTAAAGTGACAAGGCAGGTTCCATATTATGCTCTTCTTTAGTTTCAAACTCCTCCTATTTTCTTCTGAACGTTGTGGTGGGCACCCAATGACAGTTCAAATCATATTGTGCTGCACTGTGATCATAGTTACATTGGTTGGGCCACATACCTTTACTGGTTGGGACTATTGGTGTTCACGTTTATTCAGGCTTCACAGGCGATAACGCCTACCGAAACCTAGTAAGGAAAACTAAATAGTGGGATGAAACCTAGCTGGTCGTTTAAATCCAAAGCCAGATTTTTTTATCCTTAACGGAGAACAAACTCCTGTTTCTCGCCCGGATGGAAAGTGATAGATCATGTCAAAGGTTTCTTGGATTATTTAATTAAACCATTTAAACATTTAACTCTCGATTTCACCATCTTGGCACAATAACAGTTAATTTTATGTACCAGGGGCAGCACAGGCGGCAATGGCGGCGAGTCCGGCAGCGAATGCGGCGCGGGCTTCAGCCGAGACGCCGTGGGCCGCCGCTCCATGTCGGAGAAGCGCCACGCTGCCATGGACGCCAAGCAGACCGGCACCTACAAGAAGATCAAGGAGATCAAGGCCGTCAACTGTGAGTAGATTTGCTCCTAACTCTCTCACACGAACCCTTTCTCTCTTTAATCCTTGTCCGTTGCATAATTTCAACTTAAGTCTTTCTCTTTCCCTTTCTCTCTCTCCTCCTTCTCCCTCTCTCTCAACTTCAAAATTTCATCATCATCATCATCATTTCAGCTACAGGACGTCTATTGTATAGCTCCCTCAATGATGTCCATATAGGCCAGTTGGTAGCGGCCTGCATTCATATTCACCTTCTGCTACCTATATGAGGTTGTCGATCCACCTTGTGAGTGGATGTCTCACGCTGCGCTTTTTGCCTTCAAAATGTTAGAGCCCTCTGCAATCACTTATTGTCCGGTGATGTTGGCTCAGTGTAGTCAGTCTAAAAAAATCTTCAAATGATGTTCTGGTTTTTTGTCCAGCATCTGACAGCTATCAAGAAGATAGCTGACTGGTGTATGAGGCATCATTAGTTTTGCCAAATTCAAGAAATCCTGCTTACATTCCTCTTTTTGTTGCAGCATTACAAGTAGGCCCGTCGCTGGGAATGCGCAAGTCGTCCAGTTTAGAATCGTTACAAACAGCTATACAAGAGAACCAAAGGCATCCACGCAATGAACCAATTTATGCGCGAGCGCACCCACGTAAGTACCTTAGAAAAATGAACCCTATCGTCTACGTTATAACGTCTATTTTCTTTGGAAGTAGGTACCTACTTAAATTGATATTTTCGTTGCAGCGTTAAAACATTGGCTAACAGATGACAATGGTCCCGAAGGAATGGTCCGAGGCTCACCACAGCAGTCGTCACTATCACATAAAAAGCCGTCCCTACTCAAGTCACTCTCAACTATGTTCAGGTAAGTGCAACATATTCTCTCCTACATAGTTACATTTTGCAAACTTGTTTTATTGTTATTTAAATCACCGTTCAGGCTCTTTTATTTGTTCTTCGTTTAGTTGAGTTTTTTTTAAGTTCCTCTTATTTTATCCGGCTCGAAGGACTAAGTAACTAGGATAAAATTATAAAAGTCTAGATTGGTTTAACTTGGTTTGTGAATACACTCGGCGGTGATAACCGAACGCGAACAGGCTATACCTATGAAGTACATAGCTCATAAGAAGACAAACCGACTATTATACCGATGATTTTGTATTTTCAAAAGGTGACTAATATTAATATCTTTATCAGGATCGGCAAGCCCCATAAAAAACCAGAGACAGAAGTGTACGGACGCTCCCAGCCGGGGCGGTCGTCGGAGAAATCTTTATCGCGGGAGGCACTGGAGAGACACAACCGGATAGACGAGCGGCTGGATGAGAATAACCCGCCGCACCAGAGGTAATTTTTGTTGTTTCGCTTAGTTGGGTTTAGATGCTCACTGGTTTAGGTGTAGAAATATAGGGTGTTTTTATACACATCGGGATCGAGTTTTAATCATGTTATTATTAATTTTGTAAAGCCATTAGGGCCTTATTTTGTTTTATACTACAGTCATTATTATTCTGTGCTACATCGACTTCAATGCAGGATTTATTGCATTTTTTTTCTTATAATTACGCGCGAGCTATAAGGATGGGTAGCTAGGGGTCATTGGACAAAATTCTACGTGCTCACGGACCGGGCTTTAGTTTGGTTGTTGCTTTGATTTTCAAAAAGCTGTGGCCCGGCGTCGCCATAGTCTTAAGAAATTTTTGCGCTCATCTGTAAAATCTATTGGGCCAGCCTTGATTTGTGGCGTGTCCACAGACCGGAGCCGCAGCACTCGCGGCAGAGCAGCAGCGAGCGCAAGTCGGAACGCCGCGCCGCCGCGCCGCCCTACCGCGCGCCGCCCGCCCGCACCGCGCCCACGCAGCAGCAGCAGGTACGCATGCGCATTTAGCTACTTTTACTTTCATTTCCTTTTTGTGTACATTTTAATGATTTTTTGTAAGTTAGTACTTTTTTAGTACCTTTCAGTACCTTTTAGTACCTTTTAGTACCTTTTAGTACCTTTTAGTACCTTTTAGTACCTTTTAGTACCTTTTAGTACCTTTTAGTACCTTTTAGTACCTTTTAGTACCTTTTAGCACCTTTTAGTACCTTTTAGTACACTTTAGTACATTTTAGTACATTTATTTACTTATTTATTTCATTATGTTCCAAAGACCTTAAGTCATAGCACACTTATCAACCCGGAAAGGGATCAACACTGTGTCGCCTTTCGTCGCGCTGTCAACCGCGAGGCGGTAACGGACGAGAGTGCGGATAAGTGTGCGTTGCAGTACGAAGTATCATACAAAGAATACTGACCGCCTCAAGTTGATACGGTTACGATCCGTAACCGTTTCCGGGGGATAAGTGTGCTTCGTCCTTTATCCGTTGCACCGTGTGCCTATAAAATCTCGTTATAAATAAGTTTGTTTTTACATTACCTACTATTTTACCAAAAGATCGGTTATTAAATAATAATTTGAATTTTACGGAGCGCTGCCACGCTGTAGGTCTACTCGTAGTAGGTACCACAGAATAAGCTAGTACCTACCTACATTGCACCTTTAATTTTTAAGGTAAATACTGTAAGGCATTGTCTACAATTCGCGATTTTAATAAATCGAAAATACTAGGATATACCTAAAGAGATTATCCATCGTACCATCCACTTTCTATTTGGCCAATGACTTTGCATAACTCCTAATCACCGTCTCACGTTTCACAAATTAGCTTGTGAATAGATAAATCAACAACATTTTTTATTTCAATAGGCCTTGGACAGCGCGTGGGGACCAACAGGACACTATGTAAACTACGAAGAAATACAGCAGAACCTCAAGTAAGTATAACTCAATAAACACTTACCTACTCGTACTTAAGTACATGAAAATTGAATTAATTTCCAAGATCGTTTCTATTGAATTTGCGTTCGTGGAAGTACTAAAAGCGTCTTCGAGTGGGCTGGGCCTTCTTGAGTTAGCTTTTCAATTTACATTTTATTCATTCATATTTTATAAGAAAGTGTAACTTTATTTATGACTAAGTAGCTTATAAGAGTTATTTTGAATTTTGCTTTCATTATGGACTCGAAAATTGATTTTATTTAAGCTGTTTTATAGCTACATATTTCCATATCCCTGAGGATTGAATTGATCAAAACAAAACTGACAATCAAAAGACAAAATTTATGTTGCCTTATTGTTAACAAGTGATCTCTACCAGACAACTCAGACAGAGGACATTTAATTTTGTTTAAAATATTTGAGCGTTGGGAAAAGCGGAGACGAAAACTTTACTCAATGTCAAATTTCAACCACATTAATCAACTTGAACACTATTATAACACAAAATAACTTTAATATTACATTGTAGTATACAGGGTGTGGTTTTGTAAAACAATCTCTCGCCCGCGTAATAATTACCATTTTCCTGATTTCATGGATTTTTCCATGAAAAAAGGTACATTTATTTGTTTATATTTTTTTGGCATCAGTGTCGTGTACATACTATCACCCCTGAGATGGGCGTTGTTTTACAAAACCACACTGCACTCCACAACTGTATTACATCAAGGTATTGACCAGCCAAAATCGTCCTTATCCACTTAACCTACACAATACAGGGTGTTACTAACGAGCCAATGTTTCACAAGGTACGAATTGTTTGACAGCGCGCGAAGAGAGAAGCTCAGTGAAGTGCAGATCGGACAAATGAGGCGGCAGGTGCACGCGCAACGGGCCAAGGCTGAGGAGGAGAGGTGAATATACTTGTTTATTGTTTAACTATAGAAAATAAAACTATAAACTTATTTCCTTTGTGACTAAAATGTGTGTGTGACCTTTGTTAACCGTGAAAGTCAAGAATAAAATAACTTTTGTTAATTTTTTATGGAAACTCCGCTTTCCAAAAAGAAAAAACTTAAATTCTGCGATATTTTACTGTTTTATTTTTTATTGCTTGTAATTTGCCGAGAGACGGTCTACAGACTTCTGATTGATTTGAGGTATTTTCATCGAATAAATGATTAATGCCCTTTAAGTTTGATTACTACTTCCTCGGACAGACTGTATAACTAATATGCTTGTATTAAGAAGGGGTCCACCACAACAGTCCAGCGATAGACAAGGTTCGAATTAGCGACACTCGATATGGCAATCCGATGACGACACCGTTGGGCTTTTGTTGCCTCAAATATTATTATTAGCATAATCGTGTAAAGTTAAGTCGTGTAATAGTTAGCGGTTATAAAGACTTGTAATAGTGTTACAGATACTTATTCAACAATAAATCAATCAAACATCATCCAGTTATAAAACACGATAGATGCTTATTTATAAACACGATCGCAACTATAATTGATATTTGCAATCTTTTATAAATACTTTTATTAACGTTTCAATTATTCCTTTATTCAGGAAACTGCTAAAGCAGGATCTACTATTTCAGGAAATCAAATAAAGATTTCATGAAGATATTAATAAAAAAGGATATCCTTTACCTTCGCTTTTAGGACACGGTTTATTGCTAGATTTGGCCTTTGTATAGGATACAAGGCAAAGTTTTCTCTCTGACCCAACCGGTTAGACAAAGTCGGACGCGGAAAACTTCTCACGGTATCTCAGGACAAAGGATATCGACCGTGCAAATATTGGATTGAAGTAAATAAGGCTCATTACTCCGAAAACCCACTCACCTTAAACATTCCTAAGATATTTATAATTCTACCTTCAAATCGGTAGGTTGACAAGTTTAACCAGTTTAAGTAGGTACTTAATATTTTCAAGACTACTAAGACCACTTATAAAATAGCAGCATCTTTCTAGATCCTGAAAAAAAAAATTGTAAATTCTTTTGAGCTTACAAATTGGGTTCGAATTTCCTATGAAATTCTTAATAGAAGAAAGGTGCTACGGTTTTGTCCTTTTGTTAAATTAAAAATAACTCGTCAGCTTAAACTTTAATAAAAATGACCTGTAGCTATTTAATATAGAAACAACGTGACACAAAAAGTAATTATTGACACGTTATCTACTACAGATTAAGTTACAAGTTAATTTCACGATGTCTCCATTTAGCGATGAAAAACGCCATAATCGTCGGGTGTCGGGGAAGTCCTAGGGTGGTAATTGGCGCTAGCGACCGTTGGACACGATAGCAGGTTTAGAATTACTAACAAGACCGTCTAAAATGTAATAATAACCAAGCAAGACTTGACTTTGATGAATTTCTCCATTATTATTTTTTATATTTTAACACAAACTTACGCAATTTCATGCTCCATCTGAGTTATGGGGCTTAATTAAACAAACTTCATGTCAACAAGATAATTCTTAGAAAGTATAATTTTTTTACTCTGTTCCAATTCTAGGAGTTTTCAGTTAGATTTGATGGAGCAGTTTTCTGAGACATTAAATTTGATTTTTCTTCATCCTGCATATTCTTATGAAAATCTCATTTTATTGGCTTGTTCAAAAGTAGGTGATTTGGAGTTATCCCATGTTTATTGTAAGTTTTTTAAAATGTCTGTTTTTGTAGGATGGCACTGTTACATCCCTAATAAATTAAAAGTGTCAGGGGAAATCCAGAAGCGTCAATTAGGTGCAATTACCTTCAAACTATTACTTACTAATTACTTGTTAACAATTACTTATAATGAGTTGTTGTTTTTCTGCCCTCCCACGACGACGGGTAAGATGCATGTGCTTTGTAATGCCCGATTTTTATAATGCTAGTTGTGTACTGTATTGCTGTGGTTGGTGGTAATGCAGCAATCGTAGATGCTAATATTTTACTGTAATCTTATATTCTGTAGGTGGTTAACAATTGAGATCGCAGCCCTGGTGCTTATAGTCGTCATACTGACAGTATCAGATCAATGTATTCACGTACTTTTCGAAGTTCTCGACCATTAGACAAAACCTGGGAATCGAATCGAACGCAGGCAGTCTAACTCATCTTAATTTTCTTATCTCTGCAACTGGACTACAGAGGTTGCCACTTTAGATAATAATCCTATAGTAACATCTCTTCGCAGCTAAAATTATAGTAATGCATGGTATGGTAACGGTTAAGATAATAATTATAATTTTTCATTATCATTCAAGGTAATTAACTATTAGAGATGCGATATAGTAAGATAATAATATGTGTTAATTATTCTGCTGTAGGTAGAGCCTTAGTAAATGCTATTATGGACTTATTATACTTAATACAGCTTGTACATTAAAGTAATTATACCAGAGGTGGAATTGTGTAAAGCAATCATAATCATTTGACAGTTCATAACGTACGATAAAGTCACTTAAACAAAGCGTGTGACAGAATAATCGTAGGTACGTTATGAACTGTCAAATGATTACGATTGCTTTACAGTGTAAACTTTACACAATTCCACCTCTGAGAAGGTTTTCGCTAGAGAGTTGAATCGGTTTTTTATTCAGCTTGGTATTATGCTCTTTTAATCACAAATATGTGAAAATTCTTCTGTCTCAATTATGTTACCAGCTGTGAATAACTAAAGTCTAAGCAAATTTAATTTGTATCAAGTAATCAAGTGGGCATTTTCGCCCACTTATAGTCAACTTTCCAGACAGTAACTTTAACTAGTCAATAATTGAGGAAACTTTGTGGTTGCCTTTTTAGTGTCTGTACAGTGTACACTCAGGGTCAAAAGTCATTCAAATAAAAACATAAAAATAAACAAAAGAACAAAAATATATGTTTAATTACTCAAGTTAAATTTGGCTACCATATTTAAGATTTATTACATTTAATGGAGCTCTTCATGTACCTAGTAACAGTTTATTATGTTAATGTGTACTTTACCTTGCTAATGTCAACATAAAACTGCGTTAGTGCAAGCTATAAAGACGGTAATAGAAATAGGACTTCGTGGCACACGTTATATCTCACTTAAAAAGCTGTTGTTTGTAGTTTAAAACAAGTAGGGAATAAATAAGTAAATAAGACAGTATTTTAGAAGCGATATTTTCACCGCGATATTAGAGAAGCTTCAATTTAATTAGAAAAAAGTAGAAATGGAGATATTGTATAGAATTATTCTATACAATATCTCCATTTCTACTTTTTTCTAATTAAATTGAATATTCGGTCAGTAGAAAATAGAAAATATGATTTATTTTTTTAGGCTTGAAAATGCTGCGTCATAGTATATTATTATCAATACGCATACCATTAGACGCTCATTGTAGATAGTAAAATAGCAACTTGAAATTCTTAGCATTAAGTAGTCATGTGATAAAAGTCTAACAAGTACTAACTTCAAAATGTGATTCGTATTTTGTCTTCAAACTGTGAGGGACGGATTAGAAAAAAATTGAATAATAATCTCAGACTAAATTCTGAATTGGTTATTATTCTCTTTTCATTTCAGCAATTTCCGGGAAGAAATGAAAGTTGAACGATTATATTACTTTCTTTTTTCACCCTTCAATGAGCAATTCGTATTGTTTCCGGTATACACAGAGATTTAATCAAAATGGAAAAAAAAGAAAATATCTTGAATTTTCCGGGAAGACTTCAGCTGGTTTTCCACATGTTCCTTACACTGTACATTAAACCTTATTCCAAATACAACAAGGCTCATTTGTTTCAGTCGTCGGGCAGGCGGCGGAGCTGGCTACCACTCTCAGCGATCATGTAGGGACGCTCCGAGGCCACAGTCCAACTACTACGAGTACGAGACCGCCCCCCCTAGGAGGCCCGGCAAGCTGTCTCACTACCACTGACGGTACTTGGAACTGGTAACTGTGTGTGTAAAAGTACCCGCAATTTTAACTTGTGGGCAGTGAGCTACCGCCTATTCATCCTGGACAGTAAAGCTTGAAAAACTCCAAGCTGCTAGGGCTTGGAGCAGTGATAGTCCACTGACGGTACTTGGAACTGGTAACCTGGTAACTGTGTTTGTGTAAAAGTACCCGCAATTGTAACTGTGGGCTTGTGCTATGAGCTACTAAACCGCCTACTCTCATAAAGTAAAGCTCAAGTAGCTCTTGGGAAGTTGATAAAAATACCTTTGGCAGGAATATTTGGTACTTGTAGCTGTGTTTTTGGTGTAAAAGTATCCGTAATATGATAACTTGTAGGTTTGTGCTATAATCCTGCAATTTTTACTAGCTTAATCATTAACAGTGAAGCTCGGGCAGCTTCAAGCGAAAGCTAGACTTAAAAAGTAGAGAAAAGAAAGCATCGACTTCCCTCTAGCTAGAGACGAGTACAGTTGACAGTTAAAACTAAAGGCAGCCGTTAGAAGTAATTGCTAAACATGACATTTGAAGACATTGTAATTAGTTTTAGTCCATAAGTCATGGCCAGCCCAACTTCTACCTTATTAAAGTGGTATCTCTTCTTCATCTTACAGTTTTAATGTTGTTTTTTGAGTTAAAACAAATGTCGAGAACTTTATAAAATTTATGTTTTTTCCTAATAATTGAAATCCTAAATTCATTCAGAACACAAAGCTTTCACATGTTATTAAAGTTGAATGGCTGTAAAAAAGGAATTGCAATTAAGAAAATTGTTACATTAAATATTTAACCAGTAAAATAGCAATTAACAATAAGCATTTACTCATTATCGTGCAGGGCAAAGATAGCGGTAAACGTTTATGAAATTATTGTATTTTTTCCCCACTCGTGTCGTCAAACTACAAAATACCAACGAAGACGCTATACATTCATATTTCATACATTTTTTACGCCACCTTTGCCGGTGCCAAATAAAACTACCTTTAATATTTTTTATATGAATTCATTAGATTTTAAAATCTCACTTGTTTACTTTGAATAAGGTAAAATACAATAAAGCACAGGGTTGTCAAAACCTTAAATAGTAGGAAAGACCAAGGTTCTCAGGTGAAATCTAAAAAAAAAATCCTCTTGGAAAATTCTCCATTTTCCAGCGTACTTAGGTTTTCAAGTTCTCTGAAAATGTTTGATTTTAAAATTATTGTGCAAAGCTTAAGCCACTATGTATTGAAGAGAGATACCATTGATCACCAGTGATACGGTTGTTTTATTTAATTAGCTCTTATATACTGGCAATACGATACTAATTTGTGATGCTGAAGGATTTATCTTCTATACTTATAATAAATCTGTAGAAAGGTCAATTCTGTACATGAAATATATTTTCAAAATAACTATCAGGGGGTGATTAGTGATCGATACTGATGCCAAAAATGCAATCAGTAAAATTTTTGTCTGTCTGTCTGTCTGTCTGTCTGTCTGTCTGTCTGTATGTTCCTTATAGAAACAAAAACGACTCGACGGATTTTAACGAAACTTGGTACAATTATTCTTCGTACTCCTGGGCAGGTTATAGGATACTTAGGAATTCCAACAGGCACGGGAATTAGCGGGAAAATCCTTTTGTATGAAAAATCTAAACTGCTTAAGTTAGACGCTTGAAATTTGGCATGCAGGTACCTTAGTAAACTTAAAGCTTAGTTACAACAGGATATTGCAAAATTCCTACGGGAACGGGAGTTAGCGGGAAAAAACATTTGTATGAAAAATCTAAACCGTTTAAGTTAGACGCTTGAAATTTGGCATGCAGGTACCTTAGTAAACTCAAAGCTTAGTTAGAACAGGATATTGCAAAATTCCCACGGGAACGGGAGTTAGCGGGAAAAAACATTTGTATGAAAAAATCTAAACCGCGTAAGATATATGAAGGGGGTAAAACGGGATCCACGCGTACGAAGTCGCGGGCGGCCGCTAGTATTATTATATTGTAAGTTATTTTCTCATTTTATTTACTGGAAATTAACTTGTAGTACGAATCACGTCAATGATCAATAATATTTTCACAATATTTATTTATTTTACTTCATCTCGTAGACGACAGCATATCGAACAAAATAGAAATACTGGCATTTTATGTTTATGTAATAAATTCTATTTTGCAACAGTCGTTATGCTGTCGACTGTACATAATCATCCTACATACCGAAACACGACATAGTTAAGTTTGTAATTCAATGAAGCTTTAAAGTAATCAATTTTATGTTATGTACGAGTAAATTAATTTTAAATTAAATCTGATCTTTAACACTTGGGTAGTGTGACTGAATAATTTATTAGGTTAAGAATAAATTATGTGTTTCATTAATTGATTTCGAGACTTAATTACGGCTTCCAAAATATGTGGAATTCTAATTTGTTATTTTGACTTTACGGTTTTTTGAAAGACTGCAGCGCAGAAGTATGCATTATTAAATATTCTCAATATTATTATGTAAGTAGGTTACCACAGAAGTGTTTTTTAAGAACTTATTATATCCATGTTATAGCAGTCAAGCACTTAAAACTCTACTTCACTTTGGTATCATCTCATCACCATTTGATGATGATGATGGTGATGATCCGTGGAATTGAACTAGTTATAAAAATAACATAAATAACTTTCGACGTTGAGTGTACCTGATGTCAAGAAATTGTCTCAGTGAATATCAGTCTTGAACAAAACCTACTTTTTGAATGTTCCAATTATTGAGAAAGTTTGTATTTTTTATACATTTAATAGTAAAGTCAATTCACTTTTAAATTGTGATATTTTTATCAGTAACGTTTGCAATTAGTTTAACATTACTTTTGTAAGTTACTAAGATACATTTGTGGCACTTAAGGATAATATGACAGGGAACTTCTTTCTATGTTGCATCTTTAAGGTGAAGACTGACTAAAAATATATGAAAACTTACTGTTTTTAAGAAATCATGAAAACTTTTTATTTTGCTACTTATATTTTTGTATTAAATCTGCACTAATCGGAGTATGTATTGATTATGTTGATCCCAGGATCATGTTTCTCTATTCGTAAAAATGTGTAACACTTTGAAAATGTTCTTTGTATTTTATTCTCATGGCTATAAATCCTATACGATAAAGGTATTCTCACATTGTCGCGTGTTGTGTGAGGGGCGTACTACCTAAATGATATTCGTATAATAGGCCCAGTGCGTTTGCCGAGGCTTTCCGCTGTCTTGTAAAGTAAAGTAATGTTAAAAGTAAAGTAATGTTTATTTCTCACCAACATAACAGATAATATTATGATAACAAACAATCAGGAAAAACAAAGTAAGAATGTTGGTGGGTTGATACCTGAACTAGGAAGATTCCTGTGTCTCAGGTTACCAACCCTCCACCCCATACAATGGTCTATGTTATAAATAAATAGATTATATTATTAACATTTAAGAATATAACAATTATAATAGTATGAGAATTTTTTAAGGTAGAAAAAAAAACAAAATTTCGACACAATGACATTATTAAAAGTATTAAAAATATTATGCGGGTAGTATGCAAAAACTTACACATGTATGGCAGCAGCTACTTCGCCCGAGTAAAAATTGAACTTCAAGTAAACAGTTAAAAACATAGAGACGGCACTCTGAAATCTCTGGCACGGATCTTGAGCGCTAAAGGAAATATGCAGTGTTTTGATGGCTGTTTCCATTAACAAAAATATACTTTTACTGACTAGTACAACAACTAACGTCACATAGCATATTAAATGAACAAAACATTCATTTTACAAGTATGCGCTCAAGATGCGTACCGCGGACTATACGTCACGCTACAATGTTGCTTATACCTTAACACGATGGGGGTAAAATCTAAATTACAATTTAGTGCCTTAGTTTTCATATATTTCTAATCGAGCTATTTAAATGTTATATGGACCTCAAGTTTAAATAGTGTAGTAATCATAGCCAATGGCTATATTAGAATACTTAGCGAGGAACTATGATGATGCTAAATAGTACTTAAGTGAATTTTCTTTAATTTATGTACAGAAATTTTCATGTAATTGTAAATATTAGTGTTTGTCAAAGAGATTAATGTATGTAATATGCAATTTAGTTACATCTCACCACGATGAGTTAATGAGAATTATGTTAATTATGTTACGGTTAGAACAAAGCGTTAGATTAGTCACAATAAACGAAAACGACGTGCCCATAATTTTGTACATAAATGTATACACATGTCTATAACGTGTTGTAAACGATATCAATTTGTATATTTTAATTATGTAGAGACTTTCAGTGCGGAGATTGGCCATCGTACCTAAATAAAACAAGTATTATGAATATTTTCTTTTATTTTTCCGTGCAACCTAAAAAGGCAGTGCAAGACCGGTCGTCGGGGAAATCCTTGGGGGGGCCTTTGTCCAGTAGAGGACATCTAGTTAGGATGAAATGAGGAAATCCTAAAAAACTCAATTTCTAAAATAGTATTGAAAGTTCAAATCATATACTAACTGAATCTATAACTATTGATATTTGGTATTGAAATTGATGTTCCCCGAATGGATAAACAAGAAACTCATAATTTGTAGTTTTATTTGGTACTGTTTTAATATTACGGATGAGTATTTAGGTATTCGGCGACATTTTTCTTTACTGTCAAGTAACAGTAAAACAAACAAAAGCAAGATTTTATACACTTTCTATTTTCAAGAGATAGCATCGAAGGCAAGCATTTACTGCAACACTAAAAGTACCTAGTGAGTGGTTCACATCGCAGTAAATACTTAAACCAGCTCTTATTTGCTGGACTTACTTGGCAAGTTTATCGGAGATGGATAAAATCTTCAAACTACTCCGCAAATAACTAAAGTGCAATATCCGATATCGGTAACGCCAACGTTTAGCGATATCGAATAAAGCTTCGCTATTCGAGGAGAAAACAAAAGAAACTCAATAAATCGGGCTCGAATCACTTGGAAGGCAATATCGTGAAGATTCATGCTCGTCTTAACGAAGTTATCGTTTGAAATGTCAAGGGCTCGCGTGCTCGCCCGCGCTTATCGTTGTAGTCCTGGGTGGGTGAACGATTAGAGATTAGAAGCAGCTTTCAGTTTTCAAAATCAGCCTGCAGCCAAGTTACCTATTATGTACCTGTGTTTATATTTTTGGATATTTTAGTAATATAACAATTTTATCATTTTTTCGAAATGGACGAGTTTGAATCATAATTAGGCCTGTCAGATCTTTTATTTTAGTCTCATCTTGTTATAGGTAAAATTCTGTAACTAATATAA